CCTAGCCCATATAAATAACCTATTGAATGCTGCCTGCGGCAAAGTGAGCAGAATGTCTCAATAAATCACATAGAATCTAGATTTAACGAATCACATAGATCTAAAATAACTAAAGGCTCTGTCTATTTAACGGAAATTCACAGGGTTCTATGATCTGTTTTCCAGAATATCTATTATAGTTTATGACTTGTACACTGGTATATATAGGCCTACTGTTTCCAAACATAAAGGCAACAACTAAACTAAATGAGAAAAATGCAGTAATAAAATTGAGGTCAAGCCTACTAAATGCTTAATGCAGCAAAATGAGTTGATCAAAGTCCAAACGCATTGCATAGATCTAGATCCACAGAGTCACATAGATTTAGGATTATGTATCCATCCTGAAATATATCCATACGACTTCTCAGTGTAAGACCTCCGTCAATGATACTTTTCAAAATGGTGTTTGGTGGAGTCTTACACTGTAAGCAGTTGATACGATGAATGCTGTTGTCTCTTTGTATTTGTTTTGAGAGCCTTCTGCTTAAATTTTTTGTTTAATATAGGTGTTTTTACGATCCATCAACACAATTTAATTTAGAGCATTTAGGAGGCGTACTTGAGACCCTGCCTGTCAGGGCCAACCCACACTGAGAGGGATACATCATTCTAACCGACAGACCGAGGTACGTTATAATACAAATTCTCCCCACTCAGGAATAGAACTCGGGTATCCTGCATGCAATAGTGAAGTGCTTAACCAGTACACCACAGACATTTTTATCCTTTTGTGTGGATATCATGGAATAACATCAAGAGGCTAGCCCAGGATAGAGAAAGGTGAAAGGTGTTTGTCCATGGCCTATACCCTGGTGCTGGGTGAGAAAGGCAATGATGATGTGGATATCAGGCCCCATCAGCTTCCCGTTTACTGTGGTGGCTATGGTTGTTTAAATGTAGGCTTGTCTCTTTGCTTCCTTAGTGTTGTTCTTATTTTTGCTGGTTAACAAATGGGCTTACTTTTTGACCAAAAGCAGGAGGTGCACTCTCTCTGATTGAAACATGCATTTCTTAACTCTAGTTTCTAAGCACAGTGTAGCAAAGCCAGACGACCCATGCCAGCAGTGCGAAAGCTCAGTAGATTTGCCGCAGTCGAGGGTAGCCCTGGTAACATGCTAATTTATCCCACTATTTTTGTGTCAAACCTATGCATTGCAAGTCAACATTGTGGGAGAAATTGGGACATTCATCGAAGAAAATATTTTTCCAATATCTTCAGTGAAAGTCATGTCAAGTTTTTATCAAAGAAAGAGGATTGGTTGGTAACGAATCCGAAACCTGCCAACCGATGCCATAATTTTCTGATTCCTTTTATTCAGAGGGGTTGCAGAACATCCAAATATTAGCCGAACACCCCCAACTTTGGCAGCCAATGAGAAGAGAGATTAACCTTTATGTTTCAGGCCTCCATTTATAAATTATAAATAATCGAGCAAAAAATTAAGAAGTAACAAGGTGTGTAATTTGTGGTTGTTGTTTTTTAAAAGTGCGCATTCGATCATCGTGCGGAATACACCTCTATATCATCGCAAATAGGTTACACTTTATGGGATTAAAGTCTTATTTAGTGAAATGCCAAGAAAAATGGTTGCATCATAAGAAATATAATGTCAACATCATTCCTTGTTATTCATGTGGCATAAAATCCGCAACCAGGGTAACACTACTGATTCATGTAATGCTTGCCGCTATACTCGCTGTGACATGGCTGTGAGAAGTAAAACTGTTGATCTGACATTTATTCTTGACTAGCTGGGCCCCCTTTCGATGAAAGGAATGATCGGTGCATTAATATCAACTGAAAGTCATTGGCCTACTATATTTACACTCTACTGGAATGGAGCAATAAATCTTGAGAGAAAAGTGACACATGTGTTTCCAGTTGTTGAATAATAGATGTACAGATTGATTCTCTGTTCTGCTTTCGTGGTTGTACACTCCAGAATTTCAAAGGTGTGGTATCAGTGCGCTCGGTTAGTGAACGGAAACTTCACTTGTTTACTATGGCGTCTTAGAAGACGAACTTTCCCAAGATTAGATCTTCTAAATGAAACTAATGAAAAAATGAAAATTAAACTACTGTGACTGCAGACTCATCAATACAACTGTGCACCTTTTGAATGATTTCGAATCACTATTAATTTTTTCAAATTCAAAAGTTAAGTGGTTGGGAAGTTTTAGGCTGCAAAAGTGACGGACTTTCACAAATATATGTATAGATTATGGACCTACGAGGGAAAGCACCCTCCTTTTGGGCAAGGATGGAATTAATGTTTCTTTCAATTTTGTAGTTAAGACACATTTTCATGGGCATGGAGGGAGGTAGAACATAATATCCTCCACATTTAAATAACAACATGTAACTGACCATTTGGTCAATTAATTATGTGCATTATTATTAATATTATCGAGTTGAATAATAATATCCAGTCAAACATTTACAACCTTTTTTCCCTATTTTTAAAATTTTTCCCCTCTTTGCAAAAATAGATTTTAATTTTACAATAGAATGAACATGTGAATATTACCTTGTTGGTTTATTTTTTAAAATAGAAATGTGCATAAATTAATGAGATATTTGCATAATTGTCTTGGTATTGAGATTATTACTTTAATCCTTTGGTTTTTTATTTTGTTTTCCCAAAAACCACAAAATTGTCAATTTTCAGCTCATTCCATTTGCAGTGTAAGAGAGTTATCTAGTTTTTTAATGTTGTTTCATATTTTGATTCTGTTTCTCTTATTTATTCTTATATTAGAATTTTCTCTAAAATACCCGCAATTTCCGCCATATACACACTCACAACTATTTTATTTATGGACCGGTTTTCAAAAAGTAAAAAAGAAAATTGCTTGTGGAATAGCTGTGGCATTGCTACATAGTGCTCCTTTTTAAAAAATGGGTTGGTTTTTTTTCTTGCAGGAGGAAGTTAAACCCTAAAACAGTTGATCATTTTCTATAATATAAATACTTTTCAGAGCCCCAGTGTCATGATTTCAGCCGTCACAGAAAAATTCTTCCCAATGCAACTCAAGAGAAGGAGGAAGTGCCTGTGGTATCTTCCTATGATGCTGAAACTAACTACGATGCCATCGAATGGCCACTGGGCATTGTGTTTGCTGTCGTTGGTGTCATCATCTGTGCTGTGGCTGCCTTCTACATGTGGAAGAAATACCAAAGAAGGCAGAGAATCTTACGGATATTCAGGTAAGTTTATTTCAATTTTCTTTCCCTATCATTGATAGATATGGCAGGCATGGCCAACTCAGCAGGAAAAGCTCTTTTTCTTCAGCACAGGGTGGAACAGTGTCAGGAATTTGTGAGCTGCTTAGCTCTTATCAATATTTTCTTCTTCTTTACATTCCCCTGGAAGATTTCAGAGGTATTCAACTGTTGGTTCTGCAACCTGTGATGTACTGATTTTTAAGTAGGTCATGTCACCGTTTTTCCTATTTCATAGCGCCCCTTGCCTTCTGGCAGCCACATTCCGATTTCGAAGGTACTTTATATTTTTTGAATACTGAACAGAGTATTTTCAGTTTTGAGTGGAATTAAGATCAAATTTTGCCCAGGTTACGGTTGAAACCTACTCGTTTCAAATTTAGGACCAGCTTTAATTAACGTACAAAATCTGCACTTGGACATGCAAGATTTGTGGCCTTTTTCCAAGAAGGCTTGGTGTTTGATCTTTTCTACCCCAATATCAGGAGCGTGGCTGAAAGACAGCAATAAAAAGGAGCCAAAAGTAGCAGTAAGAGAGAGAGGAGCATAGAGAATGTTGAGGGTGGGGAGACAAACTGAAGATGAAAGCAGATGACAGAACAGAACTAGAGGACAGGAAAGGAGGACAAAAGAACAAAGTAGAACATTTTTGAGAACATTTTAAAATCTTCGACAGGTTCAATCCCTGGACCTTTTTACTGAGAGGCAAACACCGTACCTGTAGACCACAAGAGCCCCCCATCAACTTTATTGCACTATATATGTCTGGTAACACCAAATTTTTCAGGGTTCTGAACAAAACAGGTTTGGTCACCTTTGTATAAGGAGTCAATCAGGAAAGAATCTCCCTTTCAGATAGTCCCTGGTTTTGACTGAGATTCTTTTGAAAGTTGTCTTTTTTTATTTTAATTGAAAAAAAACTGTATGTGTAGAGAGGAACATTGAAAACATGCAGATGGCGTGTTAGTAAATGGATGTGTCTGTTTTTAAGGTTTTTAGCAGCATTTGTGTTTTTCATTCCCTCCCCAGACAAGGCCAAAATGACCCTTTCCAGGCACTCTACAGCCCCACTCAGGATTCTTACAGTTTCTAGCTAAGATTTCATTAGAAATGAAGGAGTATCGACAGCTACAACAACATTCTCATTCCATGCTTCAGTAGCTAACTTTGACCTACAAGATAAGTCGCTGTGACGCTTTGGTATGCGTGGAGCAGAATCTACTGGCAGCAGCAGCAGCAGCAGCAACAGCAATTACACATATACGGGTGATCATTCATTAGAAACCATGTTTATTCACGACCCAGACCACATTAGTTGTCACACTTTAGTTCAATAGGTTTTTATTAAAACTGGGTCATCATAAAGGCTAAGCCATCAAAATATCATGAAACCTTCAAGTATTTCCCTTGCATTTTAGGATTTATGAATTCATAGTGGTTTTAAGTTGTGATATCCTTAGTTTGCTTTCTAAATTTGTGACATGGAAGCCATACATTTTTGTGTTTTGCTTTGCCCTGTATGTTTCTGCTAAATAATGACTCTTTTGACTGAACCAAAAGCTTCCACATTATATTGAAAATAGTGCACGTAACAAAAGTGTTAATTCAACATGCACATAAATGTTCACATGGACGGTCTCTTCCATCTGGAAAGACAATGTCTGATTTTAAGGGAATTTTATTCAACAAAGGGGTATGAAGTGGGCAGAAGAGAAGGGAAGGTAGGAAAATGGGCAGGGCTAAAGCAGTCCAGTTATAAAAAGTGGGGGGGGTCAGTTTTACCACCAGTTATCGGCAGTTAACAATGACACACAGCTATCAAACGACAGGCTAGCACCAGACAATTTTTTTGTATCAGTGTTTCAGTTTTAGCCCCTCCCACTTACTGTCTTCCAGATCAACTGTCTCTCATTTGCATCAACCCTGTCAGCCTTCTAAGTATTTTGACCTTTGCATCATTATATGATATAGTATATTAATAATGAATTCACATGAGGTTTGGGATAGATGGAGGGAGGGGATGATCATGGAGATGTGTAAAACTTTGTGAAAACAACTTTCGCCTCGATGCGAGCTAAGAGTTCCCCACACTATATAAATTAGCCATCTTTTGTGACATGAATCCAGGCTTCACTCAGGGACATAGTTGAAGAAAAATAATGGAAGCTTCTGGTGTTGATGAACGAATAACTTGCTTGTGGGTGATTGGCCAGAAGGAGATAAGTATGGATGGAGCTTGGTATTATGTATTAGGCCTACTGTCATTCAGCAAATTGTCACCCACTGTCACTCAGAGTACATCACATACACGTCAGTCACGAGTGATGAGTCGTGAGGTGTGTATCCTTTTGCGTGACATCACACGGCGTGTTGACTGGCACTCCTTGGCTAGATATTTTGACCAATGGTGATGTTTTAAACCTGTCACACCCCCAGTCCGTCGCGCATGACCAGGTCTCACTTGCTACATGGACTGTTCACTGACAATGGTCACGATGTGCGTAAGGAGACAAGTTCTTTATAATCTTACTTGATTTTAGAGCGGCAAGGACCGGACACGACGTCACGTCGCGCATAAGGAGACGCACTCTTAGTATTATCACCGCTCTGTTGTTTGAGTCTGACAAAAGATAAAAACACAACCTTTCAAGTATTCTGATCAATGTGGAAGCGTTTAGCTTCTCCTATCCCATAGAGGTTTGTGGAATTTCTTGCAAATATTACCAAGATGTGACAACAGGTTGCAATGAACTGGATAAAGTTGAACAAATGTTGTATGGTCAAGACTACATATCCTTGTATGCTCAAACTATGTCAGTTTCCCAAACTTCAGTATTTTACTTATTGTATTATTGCCACACTTTGGTTACTATACAATGCTTGTAATGGTGAAATAGCATGACTAAAACTAAAAGTTCAAATGAAATAAAATTAGTTATATATTAATTATTTTAAAGTAAATTTTCTATGGAGGGCTTATTAATTAGATTATGGACTTTTTAGAATTAGCATGAAGAGGTCTATCATTTTAAATTGTTTCTACTTTAGTAAAAGTCACACTATATCTACACTGGTGTTGTGTTATTTCATAGTTTTCTCTCCTCGCTGTGGCATATAAACTGTGGTATTGGAATTTTTAGCTTGGGTAAGTGTGATATGATTTTGTATTTGAAAAAGTTTTAAAGTTATAAGCTGAAGTTCTGCAGTTTCTTACAATGAGTATTTTTAATGTTGTTTTCTGTGCTTCATTGTGGGGCTTTTCTTTTCCTTTTTTTATGCCAGTAAGTTTTTGATACATTTATTAATACTTGTTTCAACTGTACAGGTGGTTTGAAGATGCCATCAGTAAAACAAACTTCACAGGGGCTCTATTGTTTCTGTCTCTCTTGCCTTTTTTCAGTAGTAAAATGAAACATCACATCTCATCAAAAGGCTTTTCTTGAATGTAAACAGACAGATTTATGCGTCATTATTTGTGAAGTAACTAAATATCTCTTTTGCACAGTGGTGTAAAATATATGCTCTTCCTGTTATTGTAGTGTCTCAAACTTTGTACACGTATGCTGTTTTTATCTTCATGAAATAATTACAATAATTGTGTCACAACGCGGTGGAAGTGGGCGCTCGTCAATTTTTGGACATATGGAGTTATTGGTGTAATCTTAAAGCCTGTTTATTTGTCTTACTTTCGATGAAAAAAATACTCTTCTGTCTTGAATAGAAGCGGAGATATTTGCAATTGAAAGAGGGGGGGGGGCACCTGATTTCAGAGGTAAAATTAGCAAGGAAATCGAATCCTATCATTTTGACGAGTACCTGATTTCTCCACACTGCCTCACAATTTAATGGGGGTTTTTGTCCTTCAAGTAAGGATATAAAATATTCTTTTGATACAGGCTTTCTTAATCAAATTAATTGTGCTTCAAGTAATACTTTTAGAAACTACTGCTTGTGTATACCTATTGTTGTCCTTTCTTTTGTCTGTGTATTGCATAAAATTAGAATATTGTTTATTGCAATGTTGAAAGTTTGAATTTGTTCTGTATAGATTTTTCTGTTTCGAATTTATTTTTTTTTACTTGTACCCATTTCAAGAGGCAACTGACTGCTTTTTAAAAATCTTCCAAGCCATTTGAACAATATTTTTTTTGTCCCAACAGTGTATTACTGTTTGTTGCTGTACATTTCCTGGGTGTCAAAAAAAATGTTTTCTGCAATCTCTGAGTATCTGCCCCTTTACACATTTATTTTGGAGTTCTACTCATGGTTTTATTATGATGAGTTGTGCAATATGTGTATATTATTTTTATTAATATAACCCAAAACCAAGGTAATTATATGTAAATATCATTCCCTTTATTGTTGGTTCTATATTTTTCTTATTTTCATTATCAAAATGTTTGAGGCACATTGATTGTTAAAAGTCAATTCTTATTTCATTAATCCAGACAGTGTGGTTTGAGTCGAACTTTTATGGGCTGATCCATTTTCTTCTTATTAAAAGTATCTTATTGAAGTGATCAGTGAACTGTACAACTTTTAGTTTTGATTCAAGTGTACATGTGTCATGTAGCTGTTTTTCTCTTCAATGTGAGCTTTGAAATAGAATGCTTAACATTACTAACAAGATGCACAGTGTATGACTCTTTAAAAAAAACTGTAGTAGCATCGCAAAATAGTAGTAGTAGGTTTTTACCTGTCTTTATTGTAGTGAGGCCATTTTTTTGCTCAGGAAGAGGCAGGATATTGATTGAAAGTTGTTTTTTTCTCAGGCAAGAATCGTGTGGCCATGCATTAATAATTTTGTTTGGTGAAGAAGGAAGGAAAATGCTGTCAAAATTGTCTGAGACGGTCACTCATTGTCAAGGAGAAAATGGCTGCTTTAGATTTTTTATTTTTTTTGGAAATCTTATTTAAGCAGGAGTGGTTAAAGAGAAGAAAACAAACCATTCCTTTCTAAGATCTCAAACGGAGGCAGGTTTAGGACTACCGTAAGGCCTTTTATAATGTTACAAACTGGTCAACTTGAACCAGAATCCATGCCTTCTCAACGTGCTGGTTATTAATTAATTTTTTTTAAAGTGTTTTGTGAGGCTCACAACTGCATAAGGTCATATGAGCGCGCGGGACACACCTAACATTTTCAGTTGATAGGAAATTTGGAATTTTGCAAGGGTGGCGGCCGTAGCCTTCTCTTATCGATTTTGGGCCATCAAGGGATCTTTAACATGCGCAACTTGCAAACGGGCCCTCCGAGATTTTTCGCCCTTGTCCGAGAAGGCTAGGTGTAGGTCTTTCCTACCCAGAAGACCAGGGGTGTGGCTGAAAGATAGCAGAAAGAAGGAGCCAAGGAGTAGTAGTAGAAAGGCTGCAGAAAGAGTCAGGAACCCAGAGGAGGGGGCAAAGGAGATGAGGGGGCAAAGGAGATGAGGGGGTGGGGGCAGAAAATGGAGACAAAAGCAGACTATAGAACATTGCTAGAAAGCAGGAAAGGAGGTGAAATGAGCCAATTTGAGAGAAGAAAATTTTCCAGTCGTTACCCGGATTCGAACCAGGGACCTCTGAATGAGAGGCGAACACCTTAACCTCTAGGCCACGAGAGCCCCCCACATGCTGGTTAGCGTTTAGTTCATTCATGGGACAACAGCAGTAGCAACAGGTAAATGGATATGGCGGCTCCTCCACAGCATCAGGGGCCGATAAATGATTTATGACAAAGTGTCAGGCGATGACAGATTTGCATGGCCATCTTGAACAGGTTATTGGGGCTGTTGTTTGATAAAATATAGTAGCTGCAGTTGCGTTGGTCAGGTTACCGTTTTAGGTAGTGTCATTATACCTACTATAATGCAGAAAATATTCAAGGACGAGAAATGGGAAGTGGCCGTTTGTTCGGTTGGTTAAGTTGTTTGATGTAGGTAGCCGTCTAGGCTGTTGTTTTATTTGGTTGGGGTACGCCTCCTGGAACTGGAACTCAAACTCAAACTGTCATGTCATGTGAATTTTGAGGCTGTTGTCCGTTCTAGCCTGCTCTTCTTATGACTACATGTCCAAGACAATCACCTGTACAAATTACCACTTCCTACTTCTCTTCTTACGCTTTTCTTTCTTTTATTGAAATGACACTGCCCTAGAGGACCACCTTTCTAAGGATGACCATTTTTCTTATCAACAATGAGTGTTCATCTGTTTTGTTTTAGTAAGGTTTTACGGTTCTCCCAACTGCATAAGGTCATATGAGCGCCAAGGGGTAGATGTATGTCAACAGAGAAGTCCAAACAGGGAATCAGGCTTACTCTGCTCACCTCTCTGGCTTCAACAGCACAAAGTCTGCTTCAACTATCAAGGTACCATGGAAATAGCAGTTCACAAGAGAGTGACAGACGTACAAAGGAAGTAGAGGAAAATGACGATAGTGAGGATGAGGGAAGAAAAAGCAGCAGTTCCCCCCTATGTTGTTCCGGCACAGTATGAGCATGACATTGATAAATCAGCCCATTTACAATTAACAATTTAATTTTACTGTGACAATTTTACTGTGCTTAAGAACATCTAAGAACATCACTGTGCATAAGAACATTTTGATATCCCCTTTTGGGAATGACCTACAGACACTTCCGTCAGTAGCACTACCCGGAGGGGGGGGGGGGTGTTCTTCTTGGACACGTTCAACTGAAGAGAAAAATAAATGACTTTTTCTTCAAGAAAAGAATATTGTGAACTATGATGTGAACTCAGGTTCGTCAGTTGGCCTGAAGTGATGAATTTGAGTTCAATTTTTGTAGCTGTTATTGGTGTTGATAAGGCCGTCGAAATTTATCAAAGGTACAAACCGTCTGAAGATAAAAATTTGTTAATTCCTAGTAATTTGTGTGTAGATTATATTAATTTGGTCTGCTTCTCCTTTTGCCTCTGTATTCTTTTGTTTTCTGTAGAAATTAATGAATACCTTGAACTTATAATTATAAAATTATTGTTTCTTACATGAAATCAAAATGGTTTGTTATTTTTACATCTTAACATGTTTTCTGGTGTTCCTTATAAATTACAACAAAGTGTTACACAATGAGTGTTTTGTTGTTTCTTTTAAATTGTTTTATTTTTGTTGCCCACTTCCAGGACACACGCAAACACAAGTATACACACACACA